GCAAAAAAGGGAGCCAATTCGTTACAAGTTACAAAATTAGTACTTGATGAAGTGCTTAACGTTTCCTATAAAGGGGGGGGTTAAGTCGTTACAAGGTACTATGGAGGACCCACGAGATACCCTTATACCAAAAACCAAATACCGTTTAAAAGTCTTTTAACAAAACCCTGATTGGTTGAAAAAAATGACCACCAAATTACGAACCTACCAAATCTGTTTTCCGTAGTTGTGAATCAGAACTGTTGTTCAACTTGAAGAAAACAGAACATTTTGGACAGGCTTTCAGAATTTATTCCCCACAACAAACACATGACTAACAGTAGCATCGGGATAATTACAGCATTACCGTATAAGTTATTCAGCCTTTCATTCGAACTGTTCGATTCGGAGATTTGAAGAGAATGAAAATGATACAAAGTTCTTTTTTCATTTGCACTCCTTAGCTATTTGCTTGCTCTCAGTATACCGAGGAGGATCAAAGAGTCCTTCTGAGTTAAAGTCGTTCAAAAACTGTGTAAATTCGGGTCTTTTTGTTACCACCCCTCCCCCCCCCTCTCTAAATGATGAAAAATGGAGTGAAAAAAAATTTTGTTGAAAATTGAATTGGTATTATTTAAAACTGCAGGGCTGATAACCCGGGCGTTAAATCAAGCTAGAAAAATGAAACAAAAATGCTAATAAACCGACAATTAAAACTGCGTTGTGTATCTTTTTATGAAATTTATGTGCAAAAAACGGCAAAAAATAGAGAAAAGAGCCAGTTTGACGCTAAATACAGTAAAAAAGCGTTTTTTTAAAGAGTCATTTCTAAATCTTGCATTTCCAAGTAATATTGACTCAATTTTGTAATTAAAATTTTCAGCTTCATATTTCATCATTTAGGGGTGTAAAAGACCAAGAAACTTTCAGGGTTTCGAGGCCTGAAAAGATCTGCGTTGTTTTTTCAATCAATCGCCCGACTAGCTGTTTAGTTATGAATGCTTTGGCTGGGCGTCTAACATTTTTTTCGAACATTTTGGTTCACTTAGTTTTTTCACATTTTTTTGACTTCTTATTTTTTCTGTTTTTGTTGTATCGCAAGTGGTGCGAAGCTCCGCTTCACCTCTCTATTTAAGACCAGTAGCGGATTTAGGGGGGGGGGGGGCGGACGCCCTCTCTTAGGCATTCGACCCCCTGCCGACCCAAAGGGTCCCCCCTTTGTACTATTTTGAGATATCCCTTTCTGGGACCTTAAAATTTTTCTAAAGGCGCCTTTGGCGCCAATCTATTCTAACTTTGAGGGGGGAGCGCGCGCGAAAAACAAACGCGATTTTTCGGTCGAAATTTTCCAAAAAGTGCCTCAAAACGCTATTTTTGGCCTGTTTTTTCAAAAATTTGCCTGCGGCGCAGAATTTTTGGCCAAAACAGGGTCTTTATAGTGGTTTGGGAGCGCAGAAAAATAATTTGGTTGCCCTAAAAAAAAAGGTCGACAAAATTTTCAAAATTTTTTTGAAAGTCCGCCCCCCCCCCTCGAGAAATTCCTAGCGCCTGTTTAAGACTATGGTCGGAACATTCTGTGCTATTTGCTCAGTAACTGGCTATCCTTGTTTTGATTGACGAAGTTTGAACAACCCTTATTTCCTCGAAAGTCGGAACAAAGAATAACCAAGTTTTTTATGGAGCGACCAGAAATAAGAAAATTGGAGTTCGGTTTTTGAAAATTGGCATGGCAATCATCGAAAAAAAACTGTCACATTTCTCTCACGATTAAATTATTTGTTTTTACTTTTTAAGTAGAAAATTCGAAGTTCATCAAAGTATGGGTCTTAACTTTAATTTTCTTCGAGAACGCAATAAATTTTTTCCAGGATCAAATAGGCCTTAATAATGAGTTTTATGGCTCTCATTTGATTATATTTGATTGTATTTTTACGGTGTTGCAATTTTGAAATTCACTTTTTTGATTCGCAATTTTGTTGGCTTTTTTATTCGCAAATTTGTTGTCAACCAAAATTTCGCTTTTTATTTTCATAAATTCTTGTATTGCATCACCCTTTCTTTGATATTTTTAGTGGTGTCTCGTCTTAGCTTTTCTTCAAAATTAAGGAAACAATTTTTATTACTCTTGCTGTACTTTTTCGCTTTTTCCCATTTGAGCCGATTTTTTTAATGGTATCATCACGTATCGCAACCAAATCTCACGATCAGAATTGTGATGATGTAATGTGTTGTTTTGGCTAATCCAGATGACACTCAATTGTTCCCTTTGTTCTCCGCAGGTGTTTTTTTTTCACCAAAATGCGAAGAGGCAATTATTTATCCACGCTAGTGATCAGTTATAGCTTGGTTCAAAAATTGTTTTTCCATATATTGACAACCAAAGCAAAAACAAAATTTAAATCCTTGTGTTCATAATTTGATAAAAAAGCGTTTTGCAGATTTTTTCTTATCGTTACTGATTTTAAAAAATTTAAACAAAATTGTTTTTTTTCTTCGAAACTTTCATATAAAATGTTCGACTTAGTTCCCCTTCTTTTTTCTGTTTTAATTGTGTCGGTCGGGGTTAATGGTCAGAACAGATGGTCACAAGAAACTCTTAATTTGACCACAGGCGTCTTTCTTATATCCGAAAATGCTACGACTGGTAAGCTGTCAGGAACCTTGGGTTCCTTTATACGGTTCTTGTTAACTATATGCTCCCCTTTTGCAAAAAAGGGAGCCAATTCGTTACAAGTTACAAAATTAGTACTTGATGAAGTGCTTAACGTTTCCTATAAAGGGGGGGGTTAAGTCGTTACAAGGTACTATGGAGGACCCACGAGATACCCTTATACCAAAAACCAAATACCGTTTAAAAGTCTTTTAACAAAACCCTGATTGGTTGAAAAAAATGACCACCAAATTACGAACCTACCAAATCTGTTTTCCGTAGTTGTGAATCAGAACTGTTGTTCAACTTGAAGAAAACAGAACATTTTGGACAGGCTTTCAGAATTTATTCCCCACAACAAACACATGACTAACAGTAGCATCGGGATAATTACAGCATTACCGTATAAGTTATTCAGCCTTTCATTCGAACTGTTCGATTCGGAGATTTGAAGAGAATGAAAATGATACAAAGTTCTTTTTTCATTTGCACTCCTTAGCTATTTGCTTGCTCTCAGTATACCGAGGAGGATCAAAGAGTCCTTCTGAGTTAAAGTCGTTCAAAAACTGTGTAAATTCGGGTCTTTTTGTTACCACCCCTCCCCCCCCCTCTCTAAATGATGAAAAATGGAGTGAAAAAAAATTTTGTTGAAAATTGAATTGGTATTATTTAAAACTGCAGGGCTGATAACCCGGGCGTTAAATCAAGCTAGAAAAATGAAACAAAAATGCTAATAAACCGACAATTAAAACTGCGTTGTGTATCTTTTTATGAAATTTATGTGCAGAAAACGGCAAAAAATAGAGAAAAGAGCCAGTTTGACGCTAAATACAGTAAAAAAGCGTTTTTTTAAAGAGTCATTTCTAAATCTTGCATTTCCAAGTAATATTGACTCAATTTTGTAATTAAAATTTTCAGCTTCATATTTCATCATTTAGGGGTGTAAAAGACCAAGAAACTTTCAGGGTTTCGAGGCCTGAAAAGATCTGCGTTGTTTTTTCAATCAATCGCCCGACTAGCTGTTTAGTTATGAATGCTTTGGCTGGGCGTCTAACATTTTTTTCGAACATTTTGGTTCACTTAGTTTTTTCACATTTTTTTGACTTCTTATTTTTTCTGTTTTTGTTGTATCGCAAGTGGTGCGAAGCTCCGCTTCACCTCTCTATTTAAGACCAGTAGCGGATTTAGGGGGGGGGGGGCGGACGCCCTCTCTTAGCCATTCGACCCCCTGCCGACCCAAAGGGTCCCCCCTTTGTACTATTTTGAGATATCCCTTTCTGGGACCTTAAAATTTTTCTAAAGGCGCCTTTGGCGCCAATCTATTCTAACTTTGAGGGGGGAGCGCGCGCGAAAAACAAACGCGATTTTTCGGTCGAAATTTTCCAAAAAGTGCCTCAAAACGCTATTTTTGGCCTGTTTTTTCAAAAATTTGCCTGCGGCGCAGAATTTTTGGCCAAAACAGGGTCTTTATAGTGGTTTGGGAGCGCAGAAAAATAATTTGGTTGCCCTAAAAAAAAAGGTCGACAAAATTTTCAAAATTTTTTTGAAAGTCCGCCCCCCCCCCCTCGAGAAATTCCTAGCGCCTGTTTAAGACTATGGTCGGAACATTCTGTGCTATTTGCTCAGTAACTGGCTATCCTTGTTTTGATTGACGAAGTTTGAACAACCCTTATTTCCTCGAAAGTCGGAACAAAGAATAACCAAGTTTTTTATGGAGCGACCAGAAATAAGAAAATTGGAGTTCGGTTTTTGAAAATTGGCATGGCAATCATCGAAAAAAAACTGTCACATTTCTCTCACGATTAAATTATTTGTTTTTACTTTTTAAGTAGAAAATTCGAAGTTCATCAAAGTATGGGTCTTAACTTTAATTTTCTTCGAGAACGCAATAAATTTTTTCCAGGATCAAATAGGCCTTAATAATGAGTTTTATGGCTCTCATTTGATTATATTTGATTGTATTTTTACGGTGTTGCAATTTTGAAATTCACTTTTTTGATTCGCAATTTTGTTGGCTTTTTTATTCGCAAATTTGTTGTCAACCAAAATTTCGCTTTTTATTTTCATAAATTCTTGTATTGCATCACCCTTTCTTTGATATTTTTAGTGGTGTCTCGTCTTAGCTTTTCTTCAAAATTAAGGAAATAATTTTTATTACTCTTGCTGTACTTTTTCGCTTTTTCCCATTTGAGCCGATTTTTTTAATGGTATCATCACGTATCGCAACCAAATCTCACGATCAGAATTGTGATGATGTAATGTGTTGTTTTGGCTAATCCAGATGACACTCAATTGTTCCCTTTGTTCTCCGCAGGTGTTTTTTTTTCACCAAAATGCGAAGAGGCAATTATTTATCCACGCTAGTGATCAGTTATAGCTTGGTTCAAAAATTGTTTTTCCATATATTGACAACCAAAGCAAAAACAAAATTTAAATCCTTGTGTTCATAATTTGATAAAAAAGCGTTTTGCAGATTTTTTCTTATCGTTACTGATTTTAAAAAATTTAAACAAAATTGTTTTTTTTCTTCGAAACTTTCATATAAAATGTTCGACTTAGTTCCCCTTCTTTTTTCTGTTTTAATTGTGTCGGTCGGGGTTAATGGTCAGAACAGATGGTCACAAGAAACTCTTAATTTGACCACAGGCGTCTTTCTTATATCCGAAAATGCTACGACTGGTAAGCTGTCAGGAACCTTGGGTTCCTTTATACGGTTCTTGTTAACTATATGCTCCCCTTTTGCAAAAAAGGGAGCCAATTCGTTACAAGTTACAAAATTAGTACTTGATGAAGTGCTTAACGTTTCCTATAAAGGGGGGGGGGGGTTAAGTCGTTACAAGGTACTATGGAGGACCCACGAGATACCCTTATACCAAAAACCAAATACCGTTTAAAAGTCTTTTAACAAAACCCTGATTGGTTGAAAAAAATGACCACCAAATTACGAACCTACCAAATCTGTTTTCCGTAGTTGTGAATCAGAACTGTTGTTCAACTTGAAGAAAACAGAACATTTTGGACAGGCTTTCAGAATTTATTCCCCACAACAAACACATGACTAACAGTAGCATCGGGATAATTACAGCATTACCGTATAAGTTATTCAGCCTTTCATTCGAACTGTTCGATTCGGAGATTTGAAGAGAATGAAAATGATACAAAGTTCTTTTTTCATTTGCACTCCTTAGCTATTTGCTTGCTCTCAGTATACCGAGGAGGATCAAAGAGTCCTTCTGAGTTAAAGTCGTTCAAAAACTGTGTAAATTCGGGTCTTTTTGTTACCACCCCTCCCCCCCCTCTCTAAATGATGAAAAATGGAGTGAAAAAAAATTTTGTTGAAAATTGAATTGGTATTATTTAAAACTGCAGGGCTGATAACCCGGGCGTTAAATCAAGCTAGAAAAATGAAACAAAAATGCTAATAAACCGACAATTAAAACTGCGTTGTGTATCTTTTTATGAAATTTATGTGCAGAAAACGGCAAAAAATAGAGAAAAGAGCCAGTTTGACGCTAAATACAGTAAAAAAGCGTTTTTTTAAAGAGTCATTTCTAAATCTTGCATTTCCAAGTAATATTGACTCAATTTTGTAATTAAAATTTTCAGCTTCATATTTCATCATTTAGGGGTGTAAAAGACCAAGAAACTTTCAGGGTTTCGAGGCCTGAAAAGATCTGCGTTGTTTTTTCAATCAATCGCCCGACTAGCTGTTTAGTTATGAATATTTATAAAGTTACGAGTAATTAAACTGATTAATTTTTACGTTTTAATTAGGGACTTCACTGTTCCATCTGAAAGTTGTGGATGGAACTGGAACTGGCAACGAAGTTCCCGACAGCCAGATCACCTATGTAGTGAGCCCCAGTGGAATTGTTTCCATAGATGCCAATGGTCTTGTGAGAATACTGAATGCACCAGATTATGAGAACCTACCGGTATGCTTCGCGAATTTATTTAAATCTGTCATTATTACATTTTACATATATATCATCACTTGTTAGGCGACAATTCGTAACAAGCGACGATTCGTGTCAAGTGATACTTCGTATCAATATAATGCGGGGGAGCCTTTTGTGCGAAAAATTTGTCCAATCTATTTTTTTTTTCAAAATAATCAACATGGAAGGATTGGACAAATTCTGCCCAATTGATCGGTTAGGCGTTCGAACCTCAACTTCAGCTCACATTGAGGTATTAAAGCCAGTGCAATGAATATTTTCAATAGAAACGCAAAATTTCGGTGGATCTATAAAGGTTGCCTAAGCCGGGCTCCTAAAATTTTCTCCAATTAGCTTGCGTCATGATGTCTGGCCAGTAACCTTGCTGTGTCAAACTTGGTAATATTTTCTCCCTGCAAAAAAATGCTGCTTGCCGCGTTCGCTGATGGTGTACTCAAATGCAAGTTGGACAAGTTTATATGGATCAAAATGAAAGATGAACTATTAATTTCCAATAAGAAATGAGGAAGGATGGTCACAATTAACAGAAGAAAGTTCATTTTTATAGTGCTAAACGTTTTAAATTAGTGTTTTATTGATAACTAAATTGAAATCAATTCAAAATGTTGATAAACCAAGATTTAACTGAGCGTTAAGTTTCACGTTTTGATGCAGTCAACAGGTGGAACACAATTTTTCAATCCACCACAACTTTTGCAATTAACAAAATAACGCAACTTTTAAACTTCTCATACCAGCAATCAAGTGTTCGATTAGTTGCTTATTACAAATCATCGCCTGTTACTAGTCGTCGCTTGTTGCGAATTGTCGCCTCACGATTCTAATTGTTTTACGTTGAAATTCTCACGATATATATTTGCATTAGATTTTGGTGTGAATTACCTCTTCAATTCAAAAAACTGAAAACATTTTACCCATCTGAAAAAAAAACATTGTGTTTTTTGTACCTTAGAAGTTTTTCTAATTAATTATCGGTTAGGTCCCGTCTTTTTTATAATGTGATTTTTCCACAAGGGAAAGGACGAACAAGCGAGCTGTTCAGCTCATCCCAGATCTGTTGTGCCCCTGCTATAGAACTACTTGCATTTTTTTGGTTATTTTTCTGGGCTTGAAAATTTTGTCTCACCCTCAAGCAATGAGCACGGATCATTGTGGGCCTCGACCATTCGACCTTTCCCTTGAGAGGCGGAGACGTAACCATTTCACCGCCGCTCCCCTTAGCTAATGTAACCACTTCACCGCGATAATATCCCATCAATGTAAGCTTTGCCTCATAGTTTGACTTAGTCTTCAAATTTTTCAGAGACAATGCAATAAAAGTTTTTTAATGCATATTAAAGGTATTTCGAGAAAACTTATGGAAAAAGCCTCATCAATTGTTCTGTTTCAGCAAACCGATGGTCTCTTCTTGAATTTCACAGCTTCCGTTGACAATATCTGGGTCAGTTCATTAAATCAGTAGCGGCAGTTTAATAAATTTTTATTAATAACTATTTCTGATATCTCGTCTGTTTCAGTTGACCTCTGACAGCCCTCTGCGAATTGAGTACTCTGTCGTGAATGTCAATGACAACCCGCCCTCGTTTGACCCAGTCCCTAATGCAAATTATTCAATATTTGAAGTGAGTTTTCACAATTATGAACAAATTCGAGGCAAATTATTGCTGATTTTCATATAACACTGAAATTAGAGTTATCTAGTTAATCACCTGTCTAAAATAATAAATCTGAGTGGTAAAGTTATGCCACATCCCCGAGCAACGAGCACGGATCAACTTAGATCGCCGGGTTGACCTCCATATATACATCGAAAATTCCTATGGAATTGTATGGAATTGCATGACAAGAAGATTCTCAAAAATGGAAATAGTATGATAAGATGATTTGGTCACCGCGGGTTTCGAAACGTCGACCTGCTGTTTTACAAGCCTAGATCTTTACCACTTCACCGCCGCTCGAATGTGACAGTGTTTTTATATTTAGACTAGTGAAGGCGGAATCCCAGTGGACGTAATTCAAGTCAAGGCCACAGATGTGGACAGTACAAATTTGACTTACCATTTCGTGAACTCTTCCGGCGAAATCGTGCAGACGATAGGTCCCTTCTCAATTGGAGAGATTAGTGGTTTGGTGCAATTGGAAAATGCCGTTGACTATGAGACTGACCAGAGGGTGTACCAAATTGAAATTATTGTCACGGTTAGTAAGAAGGGGAGCTGGTTTCTGCTTTTCCACCCACTTGCGAGTTTTGGGCTCTTTTTCCTTCAAACCCCCCCCCCCCCCCCCCACCCTCCACCTCACATGAGCTTCAATATATTAATGAGTTAACGAGTGGTTTTACGAGGTTGAGTATGAAGACCAAATATGTTTGTCGTGGCCTTATTAGTCTGTATGTAAATTTTCATAAGAATCGGACAATGTGGTTATCAAATTTACATGTAAGAATTCGAAGGTGGGGGAAAAGGAAAAAAAGCGGAGTGTTTTTGTGGTCTCCGGAAAAAATCGGATTTTTTGACTTGCCATTTTTGACGCGAGAAACCATGTGACATGTCTTGATGCCCTGAGCTTAAGTTTCAAAAGCATTATTTCACCCGTGATTGTTTTCCGTATGGTTAAAGGTAGGGGGGATCTAAGATTTTCTCGAATGGGAGGTGCAGATATTCAAAAAAATCGAAAATTTTGTGGAGCTTTTTTTAGGTTGACCAAATTGATTTTCTGATCTCTCACAAATCACTAAAAACTTTGACCAATTTTTTGCACCCCAGGCAAATATGTGGCAAAAAAACCAAAAATATAGTTTTAGGCATTTTTGGCAAAATTTTGATCAAAATTCGCGTTTCTTCGGCGCGTGCTCCCCCTCAAAATTAGTAAATTTTGGCGCTAGGCGCCTTTAGAAAAATTTGAGGGTCAGTCAGCCAAAGATGGATATCTCAAAACACTACTACAGGGGAACCTTTTGGGTCGGCAGGTGTTCAAATCCTTGAAGGAGAGTGGCGTCCGTATGGTTAAAGGTAGGGGCGGATCTAAGATTTTATCGAATGGGAGGTGCAGATATACAAAAAAAATCGAAAATTTTGTCGACCTTTTTTTTAGGTTGACCAAATTGATTTTCTGATCTCTCACAAATCACTAAAAACTTTGACCAATTTTTTGCACCCCAGGAAAATATGTGGCAAAAAACCAAAAATATAGTTTTAGGCATTTTTGGCAAAATTTTGATCAAAATTCGCGTTTCTTCGGCGCGTGCTCCCCCTCAAAATTAGTAAATTTTGGCGCTAGGCGCCTTTAGAAAAATTTGAGGGTCAGTCAGCCAAAGATGGATATCTCAAAACACTACTACAGGGGAACCTTTTGGGTCGGCAGGTGTTCAAATCCTTGAAGGAGAGTGGCGTCCGTATGGTTAAAGGTAGGGGCGGATCTAAGATTTTATCGAATGGGAGGTGCAGATATACAAAAAAAATCGAAAATTTTGTCGACCTTTTTTTTTTAGGTTGACCAAATTGATTTTCTGATCTCTCACAAATCACTAAAAACTTTGACCAATTTTTTGCACCCCAGGCAAATATGTGGCAAAAAACCAAAAATATAGTTTTAGGCATTTTTGGCAAAATTTTGATCAAAATTCGCGTTTCTTCGGCGCGTGCTCCCCCTCAAAATTAGTAAATTTTGGCGCTAGGCGCCTTTAGAAAAATTTGAGGGTCAGTCAGCCAAAGATGGATATCTCAAAACACTACTACAGGGGAACCTTTTGGGTCGGCAGGTGTTCAAATTCCTGAAGGAGAGTGGCGTCCGCCCCCCCCCCCCAACCCCCTCCTAAATCCACCAATGACTTAAGGCAAAACTGCTCTTTTTGGGGCCTAAAACTAACGTGTCACTCATATGAGCACGTAAAAAATCATATCAGAAAGTCTACTTAACCTAAAACAACCAAACTTTGACGGATCAGCTGCTCAAGGTCACCGATAATGCCAACAATTTGGCATTAACTATTAACAAGTTACTTTAACGTGGTGAGCAAATATGGCATTCAGTATATTTTGGCGTGCCTTTAGAAAGTTTTTAAGGTCAATAAGTCAAAAATTGGTATCTCAAAATACTACAAAGGGTAGACCCGTTGGGTCACCAGGGGGTCGAATCCCTCAGGTCCGCTTTTGGCTATAGGAGACGTAAAAAGCCAAACTGCAAATTGGAATAAATGACACTTTTTTCTTAATTTCTATTTTAATGTTTGCCTAAAACTTTATCAGATACGTTCAAGGGTTTTCTGATATCTAGGGCCTTGCAGATATGGGATACTTGTTTTTAATGAGCTTTTGATAACAGAAAGAAAATCGACTATCCGAGTTCAAAGATAAAAAGTTTTCACCTGCAGTTGTCTTTGCTAAAACTCTGGATCCTGAAAACAACTTGTAATTTGGATTTTTTCAAATACTAAATACGCATATTAAAGATTGTATCTATGATGCTAAAAAAATCTTTATGCATGGCGAGTATTCCCGCGTTCGTCATTGTTTCAAATTGAAACAAGGCAACCTACTTAGTCGTATTATGTCCTCTACGACACATTTTTGAGGTAGAAAAAAGCGACAAGAAATTATAACAACATAACATGAAGACGACAAATGAGACTTGAACAACATAATATAATCTGCTAGTTTTTAAGCAATTTTTTTTCTCAGAAACTTAACTGGGCAATTTAAATTATTTTTGCAAATTTTGAAAAACCACGAACAAAGTTTTGTCGACCTTTTTTTAGGTTGACCAAATTTATTTTCTGAGCTCCGCCAAATCGAAAAAAATACCCATTTTTACCAAATTTTTGGCTCCGCATGCAAGTTTTTGAAAAAACAGACCAAAAGGACATTTTCAGGCTTTTTTCAGACCCAGTGAAATAATGGGTCCCACAAAGAGTGAAACTTTGGTCGTGGTAATTTTTTTCCGGTTTTGAAAAAAATGACGGCATATTTGTATTCAAACGATTTTTTTTTCGGATAAATTTTCAACTTTTCAACTGAAAATTTTGCTAAGTTTTTTGTATTCAGTCTAAAATATATAATTTTTTTAGTTTGAATTTTAAAAGAGTTTGTTTATTGTAGGAAATTTCCTCGAAAATAAATGCGCTCGAAATATCCAAGTTTTTTTGCAGCGCGTAGCGTAGCGTAAGCGGTTAATTAATCTGAACTAGAATTGATTTCCAGTCGATGCATGTTTTTTGTCAAATACTGCGATAGCATATACAAAAATATCTTTCCCAATATAACAATGGATTGAAAGTGCAATTTTTTTTTTACTTTTTGAACTTTTTTCTTGTTGCCAAAACTGGACCCAGTCGGATCCATGAGAATTTTGTAGGACACGAGGAAACTTGTTAAAACATAAAACTGAAATGGAAGAAAGGAAATTGCAGTGAAAGCGCAATGATAAAATCAACCTACTTGAACTATCTTTATACAGCTTAATTTTCGTCAACATGCGTTGAAAAAGAAAGTCGTTTCCTGGAAAAAGGTTTAGATTTAGAATTCGTTCAACAGAATAAACTTTTTCCAAGAGAAAATAAGGACCCCTAAATGATGTTTTTGTTGACTTCTTTGGATGAGAACAAGCCATGGAGAGCCTTGATACGCCAACAGCTTCCTTGTTTTAATTTGAGACAAAATGTACCAATAATTTACAGCCTGTGGCTAACAGATTTATCATTTGTGAAAAGGTATCATATTGGATCTCGAACCACCATCCTCTTAATTCCGAGAAAATGGCACTCATCATTTCTGTTTCCTTCAGAACAAAGTTAACCTAATGATTTCTTTGCAGGACAATGATCCCGATTGGCCTATGAGCAAAAACGCTAACGTGCGTATTAACATCCTAGACGTACAAGACACCCCGCCAATTTTCGATGAACAGTATCCTGTGTTTTCTGTGAATGAAAATGTACAAAACGTAAGTGATTCAATATATTCAACATAAACTCTCAAAATAAATTTTTTTTGTGTTTTAAAGTTACAGCAATAAACACAAGCAAATTCTGAAATCGTATTTGTTTTTACTTGATTGCGGCACAATAAATAAAAATTTTTGACACTTTTGCTATATTAAAACCGAATGATAATAAGTTTTAACATCTAAAAGGTATTGTATTTGTATTACAATGTATTACAAAACAATGTACTAAAATGTATTACATAAAAGAACCCGTGGATGTAGAAGCGGATTTTAGACGAGGGTTTGGTATGAACGATTTCCTGCTCCCCCTCCCCTTCACCCACATGGATTCCTCCCCCTGGCCACTCAAAGGGTTCCCCCTCCCCTCTAGCCATTTTTTATGACATCCAAAGGCGCTTTTTGCGTCAATGTACAAAAAATATAGGGGGGCACATTAAAAATACTAAATGTTTTTTTGGTCAAAATGGCCAAAACGGCATATCGGTTCTTGTTTAAACAACAAATATGCTTTTGCTAGGGGACGCTAGTCGGAACAGTTCCAGCAGAAGATGGAGACTCCACCAACAAAAACGAAGTCCACTATTCCATCTCGCATGCAGACCCAGACGGTCTATTCGTGATTAACAAAACTTCGGCTGAAATTTTGACAGATGGCGAAATTGATGCTGAAGTTCTACCTCGTCGAGTATTTTTAACAATTGAAGTAGGTGAACTTAAAAATAATATAACAGATAGTTCCGATCACAGTTCCGAGAGTAGTCGGAACAAAAAAAACTCTTGGACAGTTCCTGTCCAATGTTTCAAAAAATGGTCGGAACAATAATTTCTTTAGAGAATAGTTTTTTTTTCCAAAAGGCTATGCAATATATTCTTACACTTGCTAGAGTTGGGTTTTTGCGCTAGCTCGTTTGCTAAAAACGTATCAATTTGTAGTTTTTCACGTACATTGTACAATCCAAAAGTTCTATTCTAAAAATCAGATCTTTTCAATCTAAAAAAGTACAATTTTGTTGATTTGGGTAATCTGGTTGATAATGTTTTACCATTAATGTTCTACGATTAAACATTATGGGAGGCATTTGAGTTAAACCCCAGTTTTACCCGTCAAGTTGGCTTCTTTTAGGCGATTGAACAGTGCTCAGATGTGGATCCAAATGCATGTAGTACCTCCGAAGTCTCGGTTGAGATATTCGTTGGCAATTTAAATGACCAGGCGCCTCACTTTACTTCCGCCAGTTATGGCGCCACGATTTCTGAGAACCCGACAGTTGGAGCTGCGATTACTGTCCCAAATTCGACCATTCGAGTTTATGATGATGACGTGGTAAGTTGTATGTCAAAACGGGTAATTCAAAAAACATCAGCTTCTCAGAGTTCAGTTTGGGACTTCTTTGTATTTGTATGGGTGCGAATGAGGTGGGAGGTGGAGGGGGATCTAGGGGCTTCGAACTCCTGAACCCACAAAAGGTCCTTGCTTACTATTTTACCACATTTAGTATTGGTTGATCAAACCTCTAAATTTTCCAAGGACGCCCTCAGTGGAAATATTAAATTTATAAGGCATGTCGCCCAAAAAACACCCGTAATTTTATTGCACTCTTTTGGGCAGAACATTTTCTAGGGTTTTTGTGCTTTTGAGAAGCGTGGAAAGTCAGTTTGGTCGAGCTGACAAAAATGCTTTTCAAAATCCTCCCTCCTCCGAGAAAATGCTTCATTTCCACCAGTGTTGAGCTGTTGTCAAAAAAAATGGGCCATCATCATATCATCTCTATGTTTCATACAGTTCTAGGATCATTTCATATTGGGAATTTTTGAAGTAGTTTGGGCTCTTTTGCTAGCATAGAACTAAAATGAAGGGATAACCGCACCAATGAAGGGTTTTAGTATTCTTGGAGCTTCAATCTCCTGGGGCTACAATGGAGAAGAGTCGGTAAGCTTCATCTGCAAGGAAAAAACTGCCGTGAAAAGCGTTTTGAAATACATGAATTTGTTGAACGAACTGTTTTATAGACCCCATCTGTGACCAAGTATCTTTTATACTTTTTTTTTATCTTTTAGTATTTTTTATAGAACACACTGAATTCGCGGAGTCGATTTGCATTTCATCTTTGTAAGGATTGTTCTCACTTAAAAGTACTTTTCAGAGTTTACTTGATTTGTTGGACTTTGTGAGAATGCTTTCTTTGTTCCGTCTTCAATTTTATCTCGAATGTTCTCAAATTTGGTTTCGGCGTCGATTGCTATAATTCTGAAGAAGTCGTCCAAGTCAACCATAAAATCGTCTTCCGGGGGAGGGTCTGGTTGTTGCTTGTTAACCCCGTTATCTGGATATAGTTTTCAACGGTGTTTTGATTCAACGTGGGAACAGCCTTCACGCCAACATGGTTTTGCGAAGTATCACTTGCGTCCTCAATTTTTACACAGTCTCTTTCTATCATCAAATACACAGAGATTCCCCTTTTTGAATAACTGTCCATTCTTTTTGAACTTTTTTGTCCGGGAAATAAAAAAAACTAGATCTTTTTTCTTGCGTTAAAGTTTTGGTTTGGGTAGTACACAGAGGGAGTTTTTACATTATGTTGCTGAATTCTGGTTCCTTATTTATGTACCAGTACATACGCGAAAATGTTTTCTGTGGTTATGTTTTCTAAACAGAGTTTCTCAGTATCTCTACGTTCCTCATATTTGTGATAAATATGTGCCTCAATAGTTCTGCCTCTAGGTCTCAAAGAATACGCATTTTGCTAATTCAAAAAAATTATGTTTTCGTTGTCTTTCTGACGTCAACTTGAAATTTTAAAACGTTCGTACGTAAATTTTTTTTTAAATGGCCAAATTTTTTTTCAGCGAATGAAAAATTTTGGCGAAGTTGATTTCAAGATTTTTTTATTGGATTTTTGTGGCAAAGCCTTTTTGTCCCTCTTTAGCGAGTGCTAAGTAAAGCTGAGATTTCGATTTTTTATCAATAGCTCATCTTTGTAGTCCATTGATTTTTGCAATATTCTCTGGCTTCCGTCTCTTTACCTCTTCGGTTTAGATGTCTAACATTGCTGTGTAAACTCGCTACTCTGTCACTGTGTAGCATCTTCGTTTTCTGCCGGTAGTCCGGGGATTAGATTTTGTATTTGTTCAGTATCTGGCGGGTTCATGACATCATACTTGTCGAGCGAATTTTTCACTATAATTATTAGGTGAAACTTTTCTGCGCTTTTTCTGAGTCATGAAGTGTTTCGTTGGTTCCAAAAAATTCAAAACCTTGTAGGTTTGATTTCTTGGAATGTGCTATCTAAAATTTCTTATATGGTTCCAGTTAGACAACTTAGGAACAAAACTTAAGTGGAACTTTTTTTAAAATGTTAACTAAGAAATCTAGTTGTTGAAAGTAGAATTAGAACAGAACTAAAAAACAAAAAGAATTATCCAACTGATTAATAAGATAAAAACTACCCAAGAAACGTAAAACAACGTTCAAAAGCTTTGAAGTTTTTGGCAGGTTTCATTTTCGTTCTTTGGTTGACTTTTCATCTGTAGAATTTTAACTGACAGAACTGCGATACAGAGTTGTCAAATTACAACGACCTAACATCCCAACATTGAAGGCTTGCAAGGACATTAGATAATTTATTATCTGTTTGCAAGTGAATCATTAAGCTTGCCTTTGCGCTCCATTCCTTGTCGCCTCCAGAATTTTCTTACAAAACGAAAAAAGAACAGGAACTGTTATAGAAAACAGTTTATTTTTCAGAAAAACGTATGTGTACGCTCAATTTGTAATTCTTGTGCAGCTGACAGTGATTTTTGTGAGTTTCAACAAAAAAAATATCAGATTGTTTTTGAGCCTTTGAAAAAGTAAAATTTCTGCAGAAATATGGGTAATGGAGTGTTCTACGCAATTTGCACTTCAAATCAGTACTATTGGTTCCCATCCACAATTTTTCAACTTCTTTTTGAGCACAAATTTCTGGGGCACTAGTCAGAGGTGTCTCGAGGTAGTAATGAGATGTTTCGTTGGTCGAGTGATTCCGAAAAAGTTTCAGATCCTCGTAGTTTGATTTGTTAGACTGTTTGAATGTGGCATCTAAAGAGCTCCTTCTTAAGGTCCCAGTTAGACAACTTAGGAACAATAGTTAAAAGGGAGTGGGTTTTTTTAAAAACTAACTGAGCTAATCAAGTTTTTAAAATTAGAGTTGGAACAAAGTTGATAGATAAAAGGAACTATCGAACTCATTATTGGGATAAAAATTTGCCAACAAATGAAAAGCAATGTTCAAAAGCTTAAAAGTTTTTGGCAGGTTTTATTTTTTTTCATTGGTTGACGTATCATCTGTAGAATTTAAGTGACAGCAGTGCGATACAGAGTTGTCAAATTACAACTACTTAACACCCCATTAATGAAGGCTAGCAAGGACGTTAGATAATTCATTAACTGGTTGCAAGTGAATCATAAAGTTTGCATTTGCGCTCCATTTCTTGCCTTCTCCAGAAGTTTCTTAAAACAACGAAATAAAGACAAAACTTATTTTTTTGGAAAAATGTAAATTTGTAAATTTGTAAATTTGTACGAAAATTTGTTTTTCTTGCGCAGCTGACAGTGAATTTTATGAGTTTAAGCAAAAAAAATTATCAACATTTTTAACAGCTTCCGAAAAAGTAAAATTTCTGAGCCAAAAAGGGCAATGGAGTGTTCTATGCAATTTGCACTTCAAGTGATTACTCTTTGTGCCAATCCACTTTTTTTCAAATCCTTTTTTGTTGCTTATTTCCAGGGCAATAGTCAGCTGACGGTGAGTATTCTGGATGCAAATGAGGATGACTCATTCTCAGCTGGGCAATATGTTTCACTGAAGGCATCGGTTCTCTCAGTGTCCAAAGGCACAAAAAGCACTGTGGAAATCATCATAAGCAACGCTTCTTTCTTCGACTATGAAACCAACAAACAACTCATTATATCGGTATATTAATAAAACAGTTGTTAATTCTGTTTTAAAGCAAAAAAAGTTGAAATTTGTCTACGCATGGTTTTTTGTGCTTTAAATCAATTTTTTTTCAAGTTTAAAAAATTTCCAATCTAATCTCGTTTGTAGTAGTTTTTTTTCGATATCTTCATAGAAGCGAGAGTGATTTTAAACGGCGTTTGACACATCCTATTTTAGGAGAAAATTGAACGAGGAACCGGGAAAAAAAAACAAAAGTAGTGCTCATTTATCACTTTATCATAAATAAAGTAGAAAAAATCGGAAGGGGTCATATTTGGAAACGAGTATGTGTATTTGGAAAGAGTTCAGCTTAAGTTATTTTTCAGCTGCGAGTTTCGGATGGCGGAGATGTGTTTGATTATTCAACAGTGCATTTGACAATACTTGATGAAAATGACATGGTGCCCTATTTTAAAGAAGAAAGTTTTGATGTGAGCCTGTTTGAGAACCTCACAGTTGGAGAACCAGTCTTCCAAATGCAGGTAAAAAAGACAGACACTTTAGATATAGTTTATAAACCCTCTCAATTAGCAGAATAGAATTTGAAAATGTATACATGGTTACTCAAGCATCGAGAATGAACTGCGTTCGGCGTTCAGTCAACGGATATTGCGCCATTTAGTTTGCTTAAAAGAGTTTGGTCAAAAAAGTTTGGTTAAAATAATTTGGTCGAAAACATGATGATTCGCTACTTACAAACACCCGTGAACTTACGATAATGCTGAAAAATGAAACATTTATTTTTCAATTTTCAGTTAAGAACATACAAATATCCTTCAAGTTGTAGAAAAGTTTCTGTCATAGGAAGTTGCTTGTAAAAAAGTCTGGAAAAAAACCATTTCGAGAACAAATACTCGGAATACCAATTGCAAATATTCTTCAAAAGTATGCTCGCTTTCTACCAGGGGCGGATTTAAGGGGGGGTGCTCAACTCCCTGCCGACCCAAAGGGTCCCCCCTTTGAATTATTTTCAGATATCCAGTTTTGGCTGACGGACCCTGAAATTTTTCTAAAGGCGCCTTTGGCGCTAATGTATACTCATTTTAAGGGGGGAGCGCGCGCCAAAAAAAACGCAATTTTTTGGTCAAATTTTTCCAAAAAGTGCCTAAAATGCCTTTTTTGGCTTGTTTTTTTTTCAAAACTTTGCCTGCGGCGCAGAAATTTTGGACAATACAGAGACTTTTTAGTGCTTTAGGAGAGCTCGGAAAAAACCAATTTGGTCGACCTAAAAAAAGGTCGACAAAATTTCGAACATTTTTTGAAAATCTGCCCCCCACCCCCCTCGAGAAAATCCTAGATCCACCCTTGCATTCTACAACACTCTGCTCGCATCCGTTCAACTGATAACAAGGAGGTATAGTTTACAAAGTTGACAAAGTTCACAAACTCGTCGGATATTTGTGTAGGCTTTTGACGACGACTCCAACCCGAGGTTGAGTTTCATATTCTTTCCACCAAACCAACAGCACTTCAAACTGAACCGCTCCTCTGGTCTGATAAATCTGCTCTCTCCTGGCTTTGACTACGAACAGAATCAAACATACACACTGGTTGTGGAGGTAAAAAAAAATAAATATCAAACTTAAGCCTTATAAATTTTTATTTTTTAAATATGAATAAATAAGTTGTATTTATCTTTTAACAATTGACATGAGAGCTTTTTGACTCATTGATTATTTTGGAAGTTTGAATTGAAACCGTTAAGCTCTTGATAAATCAGAGCTGAAATGCTGATGAGCGTATTCAGTGACATTAAGTGAAATGCGTCAGCTTTTGAAGGGGTTAAGATTTTCGCTTTGAAGACAAAACTTTGCTGCACCGGGCAGAAATTTTGAGTGCCCAATTTCAAGCAAGAATTGAGCTGTTTGCTTAAAAAAACTTCTGAAGTCCATCAAATGCTTGAAAACCGCTCAAATCTTGAAGAACTTTTGAGCGTAATCTCGATCCGGGCATAAGATGGTCAAAAGAGCAATCAAAAAGCGTATTGGACATAACATACAACTTAATCATTTGTCAGTTCTTACTGAATTTCAAACATCAAATCTTGTCAGAATCTTCACGTTGAAGAACTTCAAAACTTGCCAAACTGTTGGCAATTTGCATTTAGGTCAACGAATCTAAACTAAGTTAATTAATCTAAAGCCACTTATTTTGACTCCTGAAATTAATTGTTCACTCATTTGAGCATGTAAAAAACCATATAAACAACCGCTTATGGATTTTTAACAGTAATAGGAGAATTAATTCTTTCAAAAACAATTGACCAAAAAAGAATATTGCCAACAATTTGGTATTAACTATAATTACGCTTGCGATAAGTAAGCGTTATCAAACTGAAATATAGTTCGTGTTACCAACTTGCTAAACAAAGTTATTTGAGTCACCATACTTCATTCGCGTGCACACATTCTACTTTTCTACTGTTACTACCGGCAGTTCTTTTAAGATGAATGGGTTTAAGTTTTTGAAGACAAAAATTTTTCGTTAAAAAAGTTTTCGAACTATCGTTAGTCTGATAATGTTTTGTCGGCTTAGTTGCCGCATCACGGATTTTTCTTGTTTTAAAAAGTTTTCACGGAAACATATATGATAGCTTGGCTCGCATCAAAATCATGTTTTATGATTTTTTGCTGGTTTGTTTGGCTTCAATGGTTTTTGCTCATGTATTATCGAGTAAAGGACCTAGTTAAGCATTGTGTCAATATAAAAATAATTTTTTTTACGCGTGTGTTTCCGGAGGGGGGAGCGTAAAAATTTAGATTTTCGGAACTTTCGAAAGTTTTTCAATTGAAAACAATACTGCTCAACGGTAGTCAACCAACTTTTGCATGTTTAGTTTCCAATCAAGTTTTGTGTCGTCTGAATACTTATTAAACGCCAGTTATTTTTCCGACTTTCGGTACGAAAGTAACGGAATATTTGTGCTCGGGGTGGGTTTTTTTTCTTCAGACAAATTTCGACTTTTTAACTAGCCATTTTTGACGGAATTTTTAATTATAATTCGAAAAGTATTGTTGTCCTGAGCTCAAATTTGAAAAGATATTTTACCTGTGATCATTTTTCGTAAAGTTAAGGGGGTTTAAAGATTGCCATTTTGGCCAATTTGCGACAATTAACGCGCGATATAATTCGCGCTATTAACGCGTAAGCGGAGAGTTAATCCGTCTTAGAAATCATTCCAAATTAGTTAAAAGAAGCTTATTCGCCATAATTGGTTTGTTACAAGGAGCAAAATTTATCCTTTTGTGCTTTGTATGGCGTGTGGGGGGATGATTTTCATTAAAAATTTCAAATTTTAGAAAAAACAATTTTCGTTTTATTTTTTCTTACATTTAATTTTTTAATGTTATTACTGCTCCATAAACCTTAATAGGCAGTCGGAACATTCAGGGCTTCGACCTGATACGAGCAGTTTTGTTGTGTTTTTAAATTGAACATCATTCCAGACAAATTTCTGGAAAATATGTAGTTATGTTTTTTTTCGAAATGTTCTAATTGTTTTTCGACTTAGTGGCTTTTGTTTCATTTTCTGTCTGCTAGCTTGCAATGCTATGTGTGTGTGGTATCGCAAGTTGTGCGAAGCTTCGCTTCGCCTCTGTGTAAAAATTTTAAATCTGCCAAAACATCATAGTGACCCTAAGTTTTACCTTGCTTAACAGGTCTTTGACGGACGCCATACTGCAAGAGTTAATTTGACAGTGTCCGTTTTGGATGTTAATGACCACACCCCCCAGTTCACCGAAGATGAGTACTACGCCACTGTCTCGGAAAACGATGACTCATTTCAATACCAGCTGTCTGTAAGTCATCAATATTATCACGAATAAAGCTATCAAAACATAGTGATTTCAATTATTTAAACCTAGTGAAATGTCAAGCTTTTGCTGAGTAAATATCTCGCATTTCAACACGCACTAGTGTTTTCTGTTTCAAAATTTTCGGATTTTGAACTCTTCAAACACTCGCTCCTTCTGCCAAGAGAACATACCCCTCGGAAGATTCTGCCATAATGCTTATTCTGTTCTGTTTTAGGCATCTGATTCGGATGGATCTGAGCCTAATTCCCAATTTAACTATTCCATTGTATCTTCCACTGGAGGGGACTGGTTAATTAACCCTGAAACTGGGTTGATAACCCTGGACACAGCCCTGGACAGAGAAGCAATTAACGCTGGGTTTGTCAGCTTTTGAATCATCACCAACCAAAATTGCTGTTTTCTTTTGGATGAAAAAATTCATTGAACATAGAACTGAATGAAATGAAAATCAACTCCGCTCTCTTTCTATCTTCACGCCAAAAGCGTTACTTGCTGAAAGTTAATCGGCTAAGCTATAATAAATTTTTTGATAAATCTACTGGTATAAAAAATATGACGTAACAAGGTAAAAATTATTATGATGAAAATCTGTCGTAGGACGAAAAATTATTTGCGAATTTGTGTTGCGCATTTTTCGAATTCATTTTGAGTCATTCGTTGTTATATCAAAAAAAGGTTATTTATTCAATTTTCTAAGAAGAATTACGAAGACTAACTTCATCTTGCTTGTAGTAATTTTTTAAACTGTTTTGTTTTGTCGTAGTAACATAACTCTCACAGTTGAAGTGACAGATTTTGGATCTCCTCAAAGGCAGAGCGACTGCCTAGTCATCATCGAAGTCACAGACAAGAACGACATAGATCCGGAGTTCAAATCTGACCCATACCAATTCAACATTCTCGAAAATCACGAAAAAGGTCAGGTCATAGAACAGGAAAATTTTTTTGACTGAGGTTGAAATCTGATATTAGTTGTAATTCTGTATCACGTTCACGATTGTAACAAGTTGAACAAATTGAGCTATATTGTAAAGCTGATCGTAAAACTAATCTTTAGGGCGTAATCGTTAAATTTATCAGATGCACAAAGTGAATGAATGCCTGTATGAGTACCAGGTGCTGGTGTAAGGGGATCTGGCGGTGACGTTATATCCCTTCTAGGCCTCCCCCCCCCCCCCCCCGCCGTTTATTACTTCTTTTTCACGTTCAGGTCTTCTCTTTGGCACTTTTTTTAACCCCACTTTACTTGTACACAATGGATTGTGCATCTTTAATACGCTCTGAAACAAATTTCTCCAGCAGGATTGAGATTGCTTTTAATTTCAGGAGCTGAGATTGGCCAGGTCACAGCGACAGACGAAGACTACAGCGAGGAGTTCAACACTGTTGTTTACACCTTAGAATCTGCAAATGACAGATTCGAAATTGTAAAGGAAAGCGGAGTCATCTATGTAAGTTAATCTATTGATTTTTCGAAGAAAATTTATCATCTCTTTAGTTTGGAATTGAAGAAGCAAAAAAGAACACTTAGTATAGTAAAAAGGCGTTGGGAAAAAAATTAAGATCTGAAGATTGATTTTTTACATAATTTTTTGTTTTCCATAAAATGCCTAGAAGACCACAAGTTGCATCAAATAAATAATCTTTTGAGTCGATTTGAAGATTCATACAAAAGTTCATAGATTTGTTACGACTTCCGATAATCATTTTGGGCTGATTTTTGTTGATTCATTTCGTGTTTAGGCAAATTTTAGTTTAATAACTGACCCGTATCCAGTTTCAAGCGTTAATAATCGATTATATTACAGTTTTAGTGCCAGTCTTACTAAAATTGAGAATCAATCGATTTTATTCAATTAATAATCGATTATAATCTTTTTTTAAGATCAAATTATAACTAATTATAATCCATTATAATCGATTATAATCGATTATTAATTCGTCCATTTTTCGATACAATTATAATCAATTATAATTGACAATTTTCCGTTATTTTATTCAAATTTCTATTTTATTAGTTTTGCACAAAAATCTATTATATAGTCGATTATAATTGCTTATAATCCCTTTTGTTTCTCCATTTTGGCTTCGAAGTAGCATCTAAGTTACTTATAATTTATGTTTTTTGTAAAAGTTGGTTCCTAAGCAAAATGCCAAAAAAATTTTTAAAAATTTTCCAATCAATTGAAATTTATAAGGTTTGTTTCATTTCTTCCCCATTAGAAATGTTTTGTGATGCATATTTTTAGCTTTTTAGCCACCAAAACATCAGCAAATTGATTTACTTTCATGATTGATTCGGAAGATTCATTTTTCATCTACCGCGGTAATTTTTCCACTAATATGAAAAGATCTCTATGAAACTTTTGTTTCGAGGTAAAACATTGTGTTTAAAACTTATTGACACGAAAGCAACAATCCATAAGATATAATTCGAATATAGTTTTGAATTGACAAAATTTTAGCAAAATAAGAGATTATAATTGATTGTAATTGATTCGAATGGTTTTTTGTAAGAACTATTATCAATTATAATAGATCATAAAAGATTATAATCTCTTGGAAAATATCACGATTATAATCAATTATAAATCTTTTAAACACATAATTTTGGTAATTATATATAATCAATTATAATTGTCAAAAAATCATCATAATAATCGGTTATAATAGATTATTTACGCCTAAACTTGGATGCGGGGAGTGTCTTTGGCAACTTTTTTTGACACGTGGAAGTTATCGTCGCTCTGAACCTAGAGTTAAAATAGTTTTCAGCTGTATTGTTTTGTACAATTATTGTTCCGATTTTCGAAGAAAACGGAATATTTATGCTCGTTGTGGTTTTTTGTATTTAGTCAATTTTCACCGATCGAAATAATAATTTTCAGCACAATTTTTTTTTACCCGTTGATGATATCGACTTCCAGAGTTCAAACGTAAAAAGATATTTTGCCTCCGAGTTTTTTTTGCCAAATTTTTGCCAAGTTCTGGGGGATTGAAAATTGCCAAATTTGCCATGTTCTGGACTAAATTATGCGCGCTTTGAATAGTTTATTTATAATGCTGATAGAGTAACGCGAATTATTTATGCGTGGCGAATCCTCCAGCACTACAAAATCGTTCCAAATTGAATTAAGGCTAGCTAATCGGATCGGTTGTATTAATTTCATACGACTCAACATTTTTGTCCAAAATGTATAATTTTTCAAATTTTTTCTTTTCCCAAAAACTCTTCGATATAAAGTAAGGGGGGACAGTCGGAACATTCAGTGCTTTGTCCTGATATACGAGCAGTCTTGTTGTGGTTTGAAAATTGCTACTTTGTCCAATTTGGAATAATTAACGGCAATTAATTGCGTTTTTATATCACGCGCTAGACGAACATTAAATAATTCGCATTAATGGAGGCCAGCAATGTGGTCCTATCATCACACTACGAAATACTTAATCGATCTCTCTGAGTTTTGTTAAGCGAGTGGGATGATCGAAGGAAAGTAAAGTAAAATCATATTTTTTTCCTACTTTTTTGATTTTCTAACAAAAAACTTTTTTTCGGGCTTTGAGGGCAGTCGGAACACCGAAAGATGCTCGGATTCCGTTCGAAACGTGATAATTGAAAAAATATGTCCAATACATTTCAATCAAATTATATGAGTTGTACAAAGCGGTGGTCTTTTTAAAAACCTTGTTTAATCCAGGCGAAGTTTCAGACGGACTTCAATAACGAGCTTATTAGGGGATGGATTTCTTGATCTGCATGTGGCTCGCTCCAAATTGAATCGTTCCAAATTGAATTGAGGTGGTTGTTTTTTTAACTCCAGACACGACAGAAATTGCAACACTTATTTTTTGATACTATCAGCCTAAAATCCATAAATTTGCCAATATTTGATTTCCCGAACACTATCGACGGTCATAAAAGAGCAGACGAAGCATTCAAGGCTTCGCCCTGATACGAGAAGTGTTGCTTCATTACAGAGTTGTAGGAGTGAGGTGTTGGTTGAAAGTACTTTGGTGTAATACGTTTTTTGACAATGCGCCTGATCTAGATAACTGCATGGTTTCAATTGCTTCGTTTCTAGGACTAGGAAAACAACATTTTTTTTGTAGTGGTAGATGTTTCCAATTAACGCCTGAAAAAAGATTAGCAAGAATGTATAATTACTTTTTTGTATTAATTCAATTGACAAAATGCCTGATCTAATCAGTCACGCCGATTCAGTTGCTTCGTTAATATACGCAAGTCTTAACTCAAAACCTATGGGAGTTGATTATGGGGGATGCATTGAAGGTGGTGGGGGTAATTTTCATATGCAGATTCTTTGAAATCATTTTTTTTGTTTTTGCAAAAATATCAAAAAGCAAAGAAAACAAAATTTTACTTTTGCGTTTTCACCAAATTTTTGGAAACAAAAAACACGATTTAATTTCAAAAGACAATTCACTTCCATATTTTTCATGCAAATTCCGCTAATGCAAACTATTAGAAAATCATTGATTTGAAAGAATGAGCTTGGTCGTTTTTGATTTTCAGAAATTTTTTTGTTGGATTTCTGATATTTCAATGGTTTTATAGTTGGTGAATGATCTATAATTAATGCTTGAAAATGTCCATGCCATCGACATGATAACTGAGGCATCTACAAAGATGCAAGTACTCTCATGTTAAAGTCCCGTCCATTATCAGTTATAAATATTATGATATTTTCCAAGAGATTGTGATCTCTTATAATCCATTCTAAATGATTGTAGATCATACAGAAAAACCCTTATAATTTCTGAGTTTTTCAAAAAAAAAAATGCCGAAACAAAAAATTCTAAATATTAACAAGGATAACCGGTTACTATGCTTTTCGAAATTTTTTCAATTAGTTGTTTGATTTTCGAAGACTTTGATTCCAAAAAGGCGCAAAAAAACTCAACGTTAACTAAAATTACTCCAGTTATTGCAAGCTTTTACGCCATTAAAATAAGACTGCTCGCTCGCTTTTTTCGCTCGAAATAAGACGAAAAATCAAAAATTTCAAACCGGTTTTTCTCGAAACTAGAAACAATTTTTGGGAATCACGACTGAAAGAACTTTAATATGATATAGCACTCAACCCAATCCGAGAATTATTTGTGGTACTTGATTTTTCGTGGAAAACGAAAAGAAAAAAATTAAAAAAAAATAAAATGAACGTGAATACAAAGCTGGTGCCCATTTTCAATGTTTGGAACAATATTCATCAAAAAAATAAAAATATCTTTAAATAATTTTTAAGTAAACAAGGATAGCCAGTCACTGTCCAAGTAGCACAGAATGTTCCGACTATCGTCTTAAAAAGTATAACATTTTTTTTTTCAAATTAGGGTCACTTTTTCGGCGTGACATGATAACATGATCTTACCGAAAGCTACACCGTAGGCATTTTTGACATTTTAGTTAAATACGCAAATTAGAAAACAATTTTTTTTAGAAAAATGACTAGAAAAACAAAACAAATCAACAAAAAATTTCTCACATTTTTTTGCAGTTTTTTAAACCTTTGAAGTTGTTGATTCCAAAAAAGCCATGAAATACTAAAAACAAACTACTTTCCTTGAGTACAACTAAGTTGTTACGGCTTAAATTCAGCTATTGTAAGCTTTTAAGCCATTAAAATTAGCTATTGCAAGCTTGTTTATTCGCTAGAATTAAGAAAAATCAAAAATTTCAAACGTGCTTTTCTCGACACCAGGAAAAAAAATTTTCAAAGTTTTTAAATGTCATGTTAATTAAGACTAAAAGGGTTTTATTATGAAATATCACTCAACTCCCTCCGATGATTATTGCGTGGAGATTAGCTGATTTTGCGTGGAAAAAAAAAAGAAAAAAAAAGAAAAAAAATAAAACACCCGAATACAAAGTTCCTCCCCATTTTCAATGGTCGGAATAATAAACATATTTTCCATTCGCTATTTGCAGCTGAAGACTGACAGTGCTCCATTAGACCTCGACCTCAACCCCCCTTCATACGAGGTCACAGTGGTGGCCTACAATGAGGGTCAGACCACCCAGGGGTCAAGGGTCAGTGTGCTGATAAACGTGGGTGATGTGAATGATAAGGCGCCAGTCTTCAATGCAAGCTCTTACTCTGTCACTATTCCAGAAAACTTGGTGAGATTAAAACTTATCCCCCCCCCTCCTTTTGCAAAAGGGTAGAGATTCGTTGCTAGGTATAAAATTCTGGGGGTGCGTGCAGTGAACCGATGTGCCAGTAAATTACCAGATCAGTAATCCGAGTTACATAATATTTACATCAATTGCGAAATTAAAGATTTATAGAATAAATTTTCCCTGAGCTAGAGCAACAATTTAAAAACTACGGGGCTCATAGGAAGAGTTTTTTTATTTCATGTTTTGATTCAATTTTTGTTTTGAGGAAAAAGTTTATCATTTTGTAAAAATCTCAGTTATCAGCTATGTGATTACGTAATTGAATAATGAGTTTTCGGTTTACGGTTACATCGATTTACTGACCTACCACCAAAATTCTGATATGCTTAACCGTTTATTTATTTCTTTATAGGGGGAAAATTCAGGCTTGGGTAATATTGTATTGCAATAGTATTGCTATTGCAGACATAAAGAAATTATTGCAATACTCAAATCCTTATAATAAATTATTGCAATATGACCATCAAAAAATATATTATTGGTAAATAGTAATTGCTCTCGGAAAAAAATTATTGTGGAGTGAATTTGAGTTCAAATTAAAGTGCATACAACTTTTTCATCCCAAGAAGAATGATCCAGGATATTCGTTACTATGTACCCGAGGGGGGATATAGATAAAGAGATCCGTGAGCTTTAAGCTCTTATGGCCATCCGCGTGTTAATAAAATTGGAAACTTGTTATCCGTAAAAACGGACGCTCGATCTCAAATTGCGGTGGCTCGGAAGTTTGATCATGATGCTTGAATTTGATTGGTTGAAATTAATTTCAGCGAAAAGAACTCTCAGCATTTTCAATGAAAACAGAAGCTAAGGTAACAGTTTTATAATTTGGGCCCTATAACAAAAAAGACCCGAGGCTCGAATTATTAGTGGCGTGTCACGGAGCCGAATACCCTGATAGCCGAAAAATAAATTTGTTTCCGGATAGCCGAAAAATAAATTCGATGCCGGATAGCCAAAAAATACATTCGTTTCCGGATAGCCGAAAAAAAATCATTCCCGGATAGCCGAAATTTTGGATCTACTTAACAATTACCCCCCCCCCCCCCTGCCCATTTCTTAATGGGGGGGGGAGAGATTCGTTACTAGGTACAAAAGAGATCCTACAAACTTACTTGAAACATTGTTTTCTTATTTAGGGTACCCCCTTTCTCTACCCCCCCCCCACACACACACACACACAATCATTCTTCCTAAGTCCCCCCACACACACTAAGTCCGGAACAGGCCAAAACGCCATTTTGAGAGTTTTTGGGAGTTTTTGGGAAATTTTAACCAAAAAATTGCGTTTTCAGCGCGTGCTCCCCTTGAAAATTATTGAAAATTTTTGGGATTCTGGAACCTCATCTAAACTACATTTTATTATTGGATAAATTAGATATTTTACCACTGTAAAACATTTAATATCAACCAATCATAATCCATCCAACTAACAACCCACTTATTTGTAAGTGCTGAAATTACTTGTAATTTCAGCACCAGAGAGATTTGAATTTAACTTAGAAATTAGTTGCCTCTCCAAGAGAACTTCAGCTGTCGCAATAAGCCAGTATACTCTAGATCTATTGAGCCTAGCAGAGACTAGTTAAACACCTTGAGACTAGTAGATATAAGAGTAAGATTAGGATCGGTATTAGACTAAGAAGTTGCACGAATCTATCCGGGCGAAAATAAGATAGCGTGACGAGCAGACGGTGTACCCTATCCGAAATTACTCTATGAGTTAACCTCAAGGACTTAACTCATCTGGTGCGACCATAAGTCTCGAATAAGACTTTAATAGCTTAGAATTAACCAAATATAGATTAGAAATTAGACAAAACATTTTCAAAATGTTACACGATAATAACTTAATTGAAATGTCTCTAAGACTCAATAGATCAGAGCCGCTATTCCGCACAATATTAGAACTACCCGGTATTGGAAAAAGACCTCGGACGAGAGACGACATACGACTACATAGAAACTTACCATTTAGTTTCATGGTTGTACGGCAAAAGCCAACACAAACTTTTATAATTAGAATCTTATTAGCAATGAATTTAGATTTTCCTTTGCAAACATAAAATTTTGAAGTAAATCTTCATGATTAGTTCTGGCGCTAAATAAATTACTAATGTACAATAACGATTGATAAAAAGATCTCAAGTCGTTTTCTCAACTTCTGCAGTATTATATAAAACATAATTATTTGAAAAATATTTATTGAAAATAAAAATAAAAATTAGTAGCATGACAATAAATAGCTAGTAATTATAAATCATCCTGTTGTTCCAGCTTCAGCACCTAAAACATAACAGCAATCATAAGCTAACTAACATCATAAAAAACTAAAACTTTATATCAAATAAATTTAAACCATTTTAAACTTAAATTTACTAAATTTTAAACCAGATCATCAAGGTTTATCCTTGGATCTTAATAAACTTTCTATCTCATCAAATTTTAATTCTGATCATCAAGGCTTATCCTTGGATCAAAAAGAACACTTTTGTTCTCCCCCACCCACTTATTAAGTGTCTAACGACCTCAAACGTCGATTCACTACCCAAACTTTTCAAAAGACCCAGGACTAATGGAAATTTTTAATAACACTAACCATTCAAATTAGGCTAAACAGTGAAGAACTTCGGTTATTCATCCTTCACTTGAACCCTCCTCTTACCAGACCCAGGATAGATCTTAGACTTAGTAAGTTTAAAAATAGTATCTAACGAACTACTTGCGTTCTAATTATACCTGAACCTTGTGGATCGATTTACTATTCTCCAACCCTTGAACACAATCACTACCCCTAAGTAATAAAACCGGAGGTATTTAGTTTCTTCGGCTATCCGGGAATGCGGCTCCGTGGGTACGCACCGAATTATTGTCGTCTTAATACAAAATTTTCCAAAAGAAAACATTCCACACCCCCTTTCATGTTCATGTTGCTGTTCGAGAGTGCTTATGTTTGGCATGTTTTCCGGTGTGTTAAACTTTTTTTTCTGTAAAAAATGACTTTTCAGGATGTCGACTCAGTTGTTGTTGAACTGCAAGCCACGGATACTGACCAGAACTCGAATCTGTTTTTCCGACTGGATCCGTCTGTACAAACTAACTCCCTCCAAAGTCCTTTCTCGTTTGAAGCCAACAGACTTGTTCTCAAATTTGGACTAGATCGAGAGGCGCTTGATGAGTATGTTTTAGACTGTGTAGTTGAAGATTTGAACGCAGACGAGAATGTACAAACGGCTACAGGTTAGCCATTTCAGTTGCTCAAATATAATAATAATACCAATTTTTGGGAAATATCTGTGGTGTGAAACAGATCTGGAAGCAGATACCGTATATATGAAAGCCTAGTGATTACTTAGAAAAAAATTGAAGCTTCTGCCATTAGAATTTTTCAAACTAATAACTACCGATAGTCAACTCACCTTAAGTCCAGAGTGAACAATCCCCCTCAATCAAATTACTCGGTTAAAACAATAATAGATTCTAGTTATAATGAGAATTCAGCATTATGCATAACTGACTTACTGCTGAAAATTGTCATTTAATTTCAGGGTGATTGTTCACGTGTTTGAGTATCAAGTGTTTGTTAGTTGAGTGGTTGTATTATTTAGCCCAAGTGACTTTTAAATTCTCTGTTTTTTGTATTTCAGCCCGAGTGACGATTTCGATTTTGGATATCAACGACAATGCGCCCGAGCTGACCTCCCCCACCGAGCTGGCCATTTCGGAGATCAGACCCCCCAATACACTTGAACCATTCACAGTCTTCGAGGGGAGGGATAGGGACTTAGGATTGAACGGTCAAATCTTATTCTCATTGGCTGAAGATAGTTCTCAGTTCAGAGTTGATGCAGATGGTACGAATTTAACAGATACCATGATGATGAAACGTATAGAGATATTATGTCGACCGTTGCGCAAAATCCGAATGCTACTAAAGCTTTTTCTACAAAGTTCGGCAAAATTAGGATGTGAAACGTTGTATATAGGGCTTAACATATTTTTTGACTGCAAAAGAGTTTTTGAATGATTTTTAATTAAGAGTTTTCATCAACTAAATCATAACATCAAACCTCTTTTTTAATTAACTTTGCTTGTTTGATAGTTGAGTTTTTGAGAGCTTTCCAATAGGAGGTTTATAAAAGCAAAAAAAAACCAATTTTATAATTGTATTTACAGTTTAAAAAAAAAACGGATCTTCTATATAATTGCCCCCTATGTTACCTTTGTGAAGAACTTCCAGCCTTATGACGATGTCAATTAAGCATAACAAACTTGCAATGAATCCTTCCCTGCTAAATTTGCAAAAGGGGAAAATAGTTGACAAGATTTTTCAAAAAAGAAGAATTATATTATGACAGCAGCGTTCAGCAGTTGTATATGGCTGCTTTTGAGTTAAGGACATCTTAGAATGATCATTTATCAAAAGAATCTCTTTCAAAAAATACATATTAAAATAATTAAGAAATTATCATTCCAGGTAGTTTTTACTTGATTTCTCCACTGGACTTCGAGACAGATGCCAGATACACACTTGAGCTCATTCTAACTGACACGCCCTTAAATGTCAGCCTGCGTCTTTCGTCTCAATACACTCTGGCTGTAAATGTTCTGAATGACAACGACAACAACCCTGTCATCGAATGGACACGAGGAAACACATTAAGGGTATTGAAATTACTTTTTTTAAATTCTGTTTTGTTTACGTTCACAGTTCATGTGACAAATTACGATTGAAAACGTACAGATAAAACATCAAAAGCATCGAAAAATTACCCACAAAAATTTTTTAAAAAAATTTCAAAAGCTTGAAACAATAAAATCATCGAAAAAAAACGCGCAAAGAAGTTTTAAAATATCAAAAACTAAAGACTAAGCTTCAAAAGTGGGAGGTGAAAACAAAAACCATGTCTTCAATGTTTTTCTGGCAACACATCGAAACTGGGTAATTGTTGTTTAACTAAGAATACATCAGTTGGAATAAAGTTTCAAGATAAAATTTTTAATATCAAGAACTAAAGTCTAAGATATAAAAGTGGGAGGTGAGATTTGCCGAACTCTAAGAATGAAAACTTGGTTGCGGAACAATAAGTAAATTGTTATAGTTTGATTCTTGGTTGTTTTTATACTTAGTTCCGAATAATAAACTTGGTTTGGGAATTTGTCCCGATAGAACATGAGATGATTGCTAAACAGATTGCTAGCATACAGTCAGTTTTAACAGATAATAATACAACACGCTCAGCGTGATATTGAGATAGGAACTAGCACCTTGACCTTGGTTATCATAATTAATATCTTTTGTAGTATGACTGCAAAAGGACAAATAACAAACGAGGCACCGAAGGTCGCCTCACGACATTCCCCGCGGGGAAAAATTTTGGAAGACTTCAAAATTATAAATAAGTAAAACTGCACCTGGACAAACAAATGAATGATAGCCCCCCTAGCCCACTCAATTGCGCACAGTAAACAAAATGATCACAAGAAAAGTTTTAGCCGAAGTTTGAATAGTTTTAACAAATTTTTCAAGATAGTTTATTCCTGGCGATAAGATCAGTCTGCGCCTGTGGTATCTTTCCCTTCCTTCCTATTAGCGAGGGAAGACGACGTCTGAGTTTGAGAGTGAGGCGTAAAACGATCGCGAATGAGAGGCTTTCGTGGTGACGATGTGGGCACTGAAAGTGCAACTGAGGGCATAAGCTGTTCCTCCGTAACGGGTAAGAGGGACGACGCAACTGAGGGCAAAATCGATGCCTCCGTAACTGGTAAGGCGAATATCGTTTCCGAGGACAACATTTGATCCTCCTCTACAAGTCTTACCGAATGTCTCAGCGGATCGCCGAAAAACTGCGTTGGCTTTTTGTTGCGGTGAGACGCCCTGACCGGCTCGGTATTATCAGCTACTGGTTGTGCAGGTAGAGAAAGTGAAGGGTATGAAGAAGACAGCTCCATGGGCATTGAATGAGAGGCAGGATTCGAATCTTTTGATGCCTCCTTTCTTGGCGACGAAATTATAAGTTCAGGACCAGATGTAATAACTTCTGGAGGCTCCGCAGGAGGAGTAGACGATGCAGGAACAGCGCGATGTACCTTCTTCGGTTGAGGCGAGACGAACGACTCATCCGGTGGTTGAGTAGAGTCGATATTTCTTGATGAAGTAGTATGAGTGAAGGAGTGAGGATTCGACGTTGAAACAAGTTGACGAGCAAATCGGACCGGCGGTGAGTCACCCTGGAACCTCTGTCGTTTACCAGTAGTAGTAGAGTTTCTAGTGCCCTGACGATCGTAATTAGAGCCAAATGAGCTATCACTAGAGGAGTCAACAGTGAGATCTACCATCGGGGTAGAGAGAGAAGGGTTGTTAGGCCGCTGTTCCAGTAACGTGGGTTGTGATCGTGTGATAAGTCGTTTAGCCGCTTCCCGAGAAGTTGAGCCCGAAGTCCTGGCGCGAGCACCTATAGTGTTCGGAGCAACTGAAACGGTAGGCCGATAATTAGGTTTTAAGACAGATATGATTTTTCCGGTAAACTTTCCCATTGTTGGTAATATAAGTATGATCCGTAACACGAACAATCTTAAACTTGGTTAGTTTATACAGAGGTTTTCCCGACTGACGATCAATATTTTTCCTAAAGACTTTGACTCGACCCGGGTCAGACAGTAGAAGGTTTTCTAATTTACTTGTTCTTGAAGGACGAGTAGTTTGCACAACGGGTGTTTGTCTAGAGCCGACTTGCATCCCCGGAGGTGAGGCGGTTGCCGAAAAGCGAAGGGTATTGCTGTTGAGGCCAGACTTGAGAGAACTAGCGAGGTCCGAATGCCGGGTTGCAAGCTCCTTCAGTATCAATTTCCCTCCATCTGGGGGAAGATTCCGCCTGTACTGTGACCAACGATTAGCCGCCCGAGCAAGATCCGCCAATGCCTTGTAGGGTTCGCTGTCTGCTATGTTAGTGTCCAATGAAAACAAGGGTTCGAATCGGGTTGGAAGTGTTGGACTGGAACTGCCACGAGGAACAACTTTTGCCCTGTCCCTACTGTAGTCGTTACTGGCGATCTGGTCTGGTGTAAGGAGGTTGCGCTCCAATCCTTGGGCTGAAGTATCAGATTGAACAACATTATTACGTGCCTGAGACCAAACAGTATTAGGTTTACGACCAAAATGCAATTCAAAAGGCGATTTCTTAAGCACCGAGTGATTAGTCTAGCGAATGTCTTCAAGTATTTGATGAACCGTATCTTTGATGTTTTTGAAATTAGGATCGAGTTGCGCCACGCCCAGTTTTCTTTTGATTGTCTGAATCGATCGTTCGACCAAACCACTGCCGCGATGATCACCGACCGGCGAGAGGATATGTTTAATACCTCTATTAGAGCAGAATTCCTGAACCAAATGGTTTTTAAAACCTGAACCATGATCTGTTCTGATCGAACGAGGAAGACCGTGTACGCGAATTTAGGAGTCAAAAAATTTAGTAACCTTTTTAGCCCCAGTGGTCTTAGAAATCAGTACTGAAGGAAACTTAGAGAACCGATCAATCGCTACTAAGAGGAAAATCTTACACCCTTTTTCATCAATTATCGGGCCGGCAAAGTCTAATTGTAATTCCTGATTAGGTCCAGATAGTACAGGCAGAGAATCCGCAGTATTGTAAGTTGCGGCGGGTTTAAGATTCTTACCGAACAGGGTGCATTCCCGACACTTTTCACACGTCTCGATGATTCGACGGTTCATAAATGGCCACCAAAGATATTCGGAGGCAGTCATCATAGCCTCTTGTCCCGGGTGAGATCTGCGAAGGCGAGCAAGTACAGCTTGTCGGGGAGCTTCAGGAATGGCCAATTTTTTGTCGATTACCACGTAATCATTAACCACCGCTGCTTTGGGCCAGAACTGGGCCATATACGCACCAAGCTTATTGAAGGAGGTGATATCCTTGTTCGTGATGGCGCGCTTCATGGGGCCGAGGAAACGATCTTCCGCTGTCAATTCTGCCAACAAGTCCGCGTCAAAGAGCCCTGGCAAGCCCACAATTTCCTTTTTGGATGAGGAAAGAAGAGGTTTGCCTCCGTTTATCGCTAAGATCCCAGTCTTCTCGGCAATGTTTTTTCGTCCGGGTTTTGATAGGCGACATCGTCTCATTGCTTCTAGCAGTTGTGAATGGCTGTCCTTCCTAGTAGTAGTCCTTGTGGCAACAAAGCGGGTTTTAGCAGCTCGTTCCCGTGTCCGATTACGTTGTCGAATCTGATCTATTCGAGACATGCGGTTAATTTGGCGAGACCGTAATTGCGGCCTTGGGCTAGGTCGACGAAAGTTGGGAGAGCTGACTGGAAAAGTTTCCACAAAGGTTTGTAAATCTGCCTGTTCAGTATTGGGTTGTAGTGAGGTCATAGAGTCTGGTTTAAATGATGGGAGTGTTTAAGTCAGTAGGAGTTTGTTTTGTATTTTTCGGTGATGTCATATTGAATTGATTCTTTGAGAAAATAATATTGTTTGAAAGAAGTTGACTGTTTCTAAAAGATTCAGGTCGGAGACAGTGATTATTTGAAACGTCATCTAGTTTGCAGCAATCAATTAGCATACCAGTCCCTGATTGGTTGAAATCGTGAGCGCATAACTCGACGCCCTCTTGAGACGCACAACGCAAGCAATTCATTTGCATACTGCAATATGATTGGTTGAGACATTGATTAACATTAACAGCGCCCTCAACCGGCAAATGACGTAAATAACAAGCGTTATTACGTTGAGACAAAAATTGGACACCCTCTTGCGGTGTTACACCATTTTGATATCCCGGAGAGGAATTATAAGAATTGATAAACGAGAGGGCCTTGTGGAATGCCTCAATTGACTTAACTACAAAAGTTCATCGTATTTGGAGGGTTCAGGAGCTGAAAAGGTAGGATAACGTGACAAGTAATCAACAATCCCCAGTGTGACCCCTGGGACATGAATAACCTCAAAATCGAAAGGTAGCAGACAATCGGCCCAACGAGCAAAGCGAGACTGATAGGACTTGTGGTTATAATTTTCATTTAAGGCCGATATGATAGTTTTGTGATCGGTTAACACCTGGAAACGCGTACCTAACAAATAAGTACGGAAATGTTCGCAGGCCCAGACAATAGCCAGTAATTCCAATTCATTAGTGCTGTATTTGACCTCCGCATCATTGAGGAAACGCGAGGCGAAAGCAGTTGGAGCCCAAACTGCTGGTTCCACTTTCTGTTCAAGGCAAGCGCCTAATCCATTATGACTCGCGTCACATTTTACTCTCGAACCCTTTGATGAATCAAAGTGGTACAGGCTCGGAATTTTCGCAATCATTTTAATGATATCGTAAAAGGCTGTATTTTGATCCTCCCCCCATAGGAACGATTGTTTATTGCAGGCCTTCAATGAGGCCCGAAAATGGACAGTATGGGTATGCAAATCGGGGATAAACCTTTGTAAATGATTCAACGTTCCCATGAATGATCGAAGTTGTTTTAAAGTTCGCGGTGGTTTGAGCAATTGGATTGCCTCGATTTTAGAAAAATTTGGAGAGTACCCATTTTCATTAATGTCATAACCTAACCAAGTTAGTTGGTTAACAGAGAATTCACACTTACTCAGTTTAAGGGCCCATCCTTCCGTTTCAAGCCTTTCCATAACTTTCTCGACC